TCTATATTAAAAACATCAATCAATCCCACAGTCAGTCTTTCCTTGCTTTTTTCTTTATTCTGGTTCTGCTTTCACTTTCTAAGATTCTTACTTTGTTTCAATATTTCTTTAAAGTTCATTCAGAAACAGGATGCTTTCCCTTTTGTTTGAGCTCAAGTTTTTGTCAGAAGGTGGCACTCTCCATTATACAAAGTCTTCACCTTTCCCCCCTATTTTTTTATTTAGGGTTTTTCGAACCTCAATATTCCAGCACAGTCCAGTCTCCAATTTGTAAACTTTATTATTATTATTTTTTGACCATCTTAAGTCCAGCTTTATTTTATGCCTGTTTATTGCCAAAATATTTTAGTCCAATTTAGTTAAATCTTTAGTTCCGGCTTCTTCCTTTCCCGGTTCGAAGCCCCGCTTAGCTGACAAAAATGTTTTCTTTTTTTTTCCTGTCCCTTTGTAATTTCGCCACTCACTTTTCTTTTCTTAAAAATTCCATGTTACCTTAAGCCCGGGGTACTTTTGTTTAGTTGTATTGCCCAGTTGTCCCGGTTCAGATGTTATCCACCTCTTTCTTCCCTCCTGCACAAATCTTAATCCAGCTGAGTCCTCCTGTTCAGGGTGGCCATTTTAAACCACCGCTGCAGTCATCTTCGGGGGGAAAAAGACCAAGCCCAGGGGGGGAGATGCAGCTCCCCTCAACCTGGCTTTCAGCTTCCCCTTACTCCGCCACCCCTCCAAGGCAGCTTCAGCCCCTTATCATAATGATTGGGGCTCTCCAACGAAAGAGCACGGACCATAGCCACAGAGAGTCGTGATCTACGGTCCGTCAGCAAAGAGGCTCCGCCTTCCCAGGAAATTGCTTTTGATATGCCAGATCTGTTCCTAATAAATCAATTGGAGAGAGAACGTCTCGGAGTGATTGATATCATGGATACTTTCTGGATGCTTGACATATATATTACATTAAGTGTATATAAATAATATTCAACCATTGTCACTCATTAGACTTGCTTGCTTTTTCAAATGTTTTGGCCACAGAAAGGGAGTGGAAGGCATAAAATATGACTCTTTTTCTTTGTAAAAGTAAAATAGCAAGTATTTCCTGTCAATGGCAGGCAGTAAAAAGATAAAAATAACCCACAGGATGCACCTGAAAGCAAAAAGGAGAAGAAAGAGAAAGAACCAAGCACCTCTGCATAAACATATGGAACCAGAACGTAGCTAGCTATGTACTTGGAAGTGCATAGTTACCCAGATCACACGATTAAGATAGGGATGAGTTGTTGTAGTGTGGGCTGTGATCTTTGAAAAGCAGTAAACATAACTGACAAAGAGAAGCCTTGTTTCCTGTCTCTTTCACAGCAGTTCTTTTATTTATTTTGTAACTGAGCAATTATTTTGTTTACTTGAGAGTATGTACATATTTGCAAAGATGTGCGCAGTCAACTCACTAATGAAATTATACCTTTGAATAGCACTCAAAAAAAAAAATCAGTTAATTTTTATGACCAATAAACTGAAATTTGTGGATCAAGAGAAGCCTGGAGAACTCGTGTTCCTATCTGTGGAATTTATTTCAATGTATTCTATTTTTTTTTTGCAAATGTTTAGAATGCTGTTTAGCTATCTGAAGGCTTAATGCAAGTAATACTCCTGATTCTCTCTTGAAATCAATCAGGAATTACATTCCCAAAGTAATTTCCCATTGCACATTAGTGGGATCAATATGTCTATGAAGACTCAATCTTCATAGATTAATACCATTTTATAAAGCCTTAGTAAGACTACACCTAGAGTACTGCATACAGTTTTGGTCGCCACATGATAAAAAAAGATGTTGAGACTCTAGAAAAAGTACAGAGAAGAGCAACCAAGATGATTAGGGGACTGGAGACTAAAACATATGAAGAACGGTTACAGGAATTGGGCATGGCTAGTCTAGTGAAGAGAAGGACCAGGGGAGACATGATAGCAGTCTTCCAATATTAATGAGGGGCTGCCACAGAGAGGAGAGGGGTCAAGCTATTTTCCAAGGCACCTGAAGGCCAGACAAGGAATAATGGATGGAAACTGAACAACGAGAGATTCAACCGGGTAATAAGGAGGGATTTTCTGACAGTGAGAACAATCAACCAATGGAACAGAAGTTGCCTTCAGAAGTTGTGGGAGCTTCATCAATGGAGGCTTTCATGAAGAGACTGGACAGCCATATGTCCGAAATGGTGTAGGGCAGTGGTGGCTAACGCTCGTGTGCCAGTATGCAGAAGGCAATGTGCGCTGGGCCCCCACGCCCCCTGTGCATGCGTGCATGATTCCCTCCGCTGCCCCCTTCCCTGCACTGTGCATATGCACGCCTCCCAGCTCCCTGGGCCCATTTCGTCACCTCCGATATTTCCAGAAATACAGGAAGTAACAAAATGGGCCTGTTGTTTGGCCTCCAAAGGCTGCAGAGGCTTCCCTCAAGCCTCTGGGAGGCTGAAAAAGGCCCGAAAATCACCTGGGAGGCACATGCACAGTGAGGTAAGTTTTCCTGGGCTTGCGTGCCCACACAAATGGCTCTGCATGCCACTTGTGGCACCCATGCCCTAGGTTCGCCATCATGGGTGTACGGTCTCCTGTTTGGGTTGGACTAGATGACCTACAAGCTACCTTCCAACTCTGAATCCCGGTCAAAGGTGTCTAAAGGTTGAAACATGGTAACTGATCAAACTTTGTTAATCTGAGACATTTCACTGCTCATCCAAGCAACTCCATCAGTCATAGCAAAATTAGTTAGACAGAGAATTTTGCTCTGACTGATAGAGTTGCTTGGATAGGATAAGCAACAGGGCATCTCAAATTAACAACGTTTGGTCCAGTTCAGTGGTGGTATTCGACTGATTTGGCCCAGTTCTGCTGAGTCAGTCGTGGCAATGAGCAGCAGAGACCGAACCAGTTCTCTCTACTGTTCTGCTGTTGGGCCCACCCCCCCACCTGGGGTCCTATACTCACCATTATCCAGGGATGGGATTCAAATATTTTAGCAACCGGTTCTGTGGGCGGGGCTTAGTTGGTGGGCATGGCTTGGTGGTCATGGCTTGGTGGTCATGTTATTGGCTGGGCGTGGCCAGCTCAATATCACTCACATCGAGGCACGCATCTCCTAGCCTGGCCTCTCGTGACTGTGGGAATGCTGCAACAGTCGTAAGTGTGAAAAATGATCATAAGTCACTTTTTTTCAGTGCCATTGTAACTTTGAATGGTCACTCCACACAAGCAAAGTACCAGCAAAGGAGGGGAAAAGAAACTCCAGAGAAGTTCCTGAGACAGGAAGTCTAGTCCTGCCAAGAATGTAATTGGGGTTAACGGAGAGGCAGTTTCTGTAAGCAACACCAGAATGTTTCCTTCCTGCCTTCCTTACAGGATTAGGCCAGTAATGTCTTCTAACAACCAGTTCTCTGAACTGCTTAGAATGTTAACAACCGGTTCTAGCGAATAGGTAGAATCCCACCCCTGCCTTTATCCTCTGTTTTTGAAGCACAGTTGCTTTGCGCGGCACAGCAGAGTGCTGCGCGGCAGCTGCTGAAGCGACAGGGAGAGTGCAAGCTTGCAGGAGGTGAGTTGGGATGCCTCTGCACCTGCACAAAGCGCGCTCATGTGTGCACTCGTGCAAAGCACGCTCACCAAGCCATGATCACCGAACTGGTGGTAGAACATTTTGAATCCCACCACTGGTCCAGTTGCCATTAATCAAACTTTAGTGGGATCAGCAAAAAGTGTTAGAACTTCCAAGAAAAACTATCAAGGGATGCGATAAAGCAAAATAAAGCACGTTGAGCCATTGCCCTCCTTAGGCAGGTCTGGGAAAAAAGAAATGCACATCTCTTTGGGTGTGTATAGCTTAGCATTTGCTCATCCCCACCCAATTTGAGATTCTTGACTGGAAATGATGAGTGTCAGGCTAAAGTCATAAGAAAAATTTAAACAAAACAGATCATCTGATGGCTTAGCTATGTGAAGCCCATCCTTGCGATTTGTAAAACACAGTGCTACATATCCCACCTTTTCTCCTCATGAGGAATTCTAGATTGTCACTGAATGTTTCTGAAGACCACAGAGTTCACTTAGATGTGTCATCTACCGCTGCTTTGACTCTGCAACTTCCCATTAAATGGTGCCATAAAACAGATTAGGAAACACTGATGTATCATGTTGTGCAAACCCAACCAACTACTGCGCCATCAGCCAACCAAAACTAAGCCAATTTTTCTCTAGTGTGATGTGTGAGCCCACCCTTATGTTACAGGATATCAGGAATGCAGTCTGGACCACAAGGACTTAGGGCAGTGGTCGCCAACCACTGGTCCAGGGACCACTGGTGGTCTATGAGAAAATTTTGGTGGTCTGCAGAGAAATGTCACTCCTAAAGCAATTAATCCAGGCTGCGTGGGAACATAAGGCTGTGCCATTCATATGGCCCGGGGGACCACAAGGCTTGCATTGCTCGCATTGTGAACAACATGAGGTAGTGAGGGGAGGGGGGAAAATGTGGAGGGGGAGAAATTGCTCCACGCGCCCCATGCGCCTCACCTGGCCACGGGGCTGCTCCTTTCCGCCTATTTCTTCTTCTGCTTTTGACTGCACACAAGGAAAGTCACAAAAGTCTTTCTTTCTCTCCCGCAAACTCCACCAGAAATGAGTCTTTGGGACCCTGCAAGGCCTCCTGTTCCAAGAGGCTGTGCCAGCAAAGACTCCTTTCCGGCAGAGTTTGGGGGAGAGAAAGAAAGATTTCTGCTGCTTCTGCTGCTTTCCTTGCATGAAGTCAAAAGTCCCCCCCTCTCTCTCTCATCCTGAAAACGGAGCTGGAGATGATATCCTGCGATTCCAAATAAAGAATGATTGATAGGTAGGATAATAGTGTGTGGAATTTTCCTGCAGACTTTTTTGGGGATTTTTTCCAGGGGCTCTGGTCTGCGGGATTTAAAATTATGAGTTGGTGGTCCCTGTGGTCAAAAGGTTGGTGACCCCTGGCTTAGGGCAACTCTTGTAAATCCTCCAATCCTTCACCCGACTTGAAGTCCAGCTAATTTTATTCCTTCATCGAAGCAGCGCTTTCTTTGCTTAACAAACGACTTCTGAAGGACAAGTTCTTATAGGTTGGTAACCGATCGTGGAATTCCGACGTCACAAAAAAGTACAAGAAGGGATCCAAGCAGCAGTTGAAGCTGGCAAGGCTTAAGAAAAGGGGGTGCAGGTACAAGATGCCTTGTTTTACAGCGCAGCTCTTCACCACATCCTCTTTTACCAACATGAAGAAGAAAAACATGAGGTGGTAGGGGGCAAAGCACACAAAAAACACGACGGCACACATGGACACCATCTTCAGCGCCTTCCGTTTCTCGCAGGTGTTTTGCAAAGGCATTTGGTTTTCCTGCAGGGAAGCTCTGGTCTTGGAAGTGCAGTAGACAATGATGGCCAGAGGGAAGAGGAACCCAACCAGTTCGGCCGCCACCAGCATTCCGATCAAAGCCTCCTTCTTCTCGAACTTTTCAATGTTGAGATCGGAGAAGCAAGCTTCGGAATCCGGGGTCTTTCTCAGCAATGGGAAGGTCAGGCAAGCCACACCAGCCACCAGCCAGACGGCTGCCGAGATGGCGACATCGTAGCCCTTCTTCCAGTTTTTGGCCTTGAAGGGATGGAGCAGGAAGAGGTACCTTTGCATGCTGATGCAGGTGAGGAAGCAAATACTGGCGTACATGTTCAGGTACTTCAAGTAGAAGCAAAGCTGGCAGAGGAAGAGTCCGAAGGGCCACCTGTAGTTGACGTAGTAATATATCCGCAGAGGCAAAGAGAGAACATGAATGAAGTCCGCGGTGGCCAGGTTTAGCAGGAAGATGATGGTTTTATTTTGCTTTCGGATGAAGAGGCAGAGCATCCACAGGGCGATGCTGTTGGTTAGGAGGCCTGGGATGAAAATGAGGGTGTAGGTGGCAGCATAAAAGGCATGTTGGAAATCTTTCCCGGGTTCTGAGCAATTCGTTCCCGGGCTTGCCGGCATTTTGGTTCCATTGAAGGGGAGAGGACTTGTGAACATCTCACCTTTGGAGGGATTCTGGACACTGTAAGGAAAAAATAGCACATTTATAAAGCAATGGGAGTAGCACTTAAGACTTATACGGTGGTGGCATTCAATTTTTTTTACTGCTGGTTCTGTGGGCCTGGCTTGGTGGGCATGGTTTTGTGGGCCTGGCTTGGTGGGCGTGCCAGGGGAAGGATACTGCAAAATCTCCATTCCCTCCCCACCCCACTAACCTGCTTTCCAGCTCCGTTCTCCTGTGCAGGGAAACAGAAGAACACCCAGCCGATCAACTGGGACTCAATGGGAGGCAGAGAAGAGGTGGGTTGGTGCGGCCAGTCAGAGGTGGGATTTGCCGGTTCTCCGAACTACTCAAAATTTCCACTACCGGTTCTGTTGGAACAGGCTGAATACCACCTCTGGACTTATATACCACCCCATAGTCCTTTACAGGACTCTCTCGGTGGTTGACAATGTCAGCATCTTGCCCCCATATAATCTGGATCCTCATTTCACCAACCTCAGAAGGACAGAAGGCTGAGTCAATCTTGAGCCCTGTCAGGATCGAACTTTAGACTGTGGGCAGAGTTTGCCTGCAATACTTCACTTTAACCACTGCACCACCAGGGCTCCTAATAGCACTAGTCATAGCACTTAGACCTGTATACTGCTTCATAATGTATACAAGCACTCGCTAAGCATTTTACAGAGTCAGCAATTTCCTCCAACAATCTGGGTTCTCATTTTACTGACCTCAGAAGTATAGAAGGCTAAGTCAACCTTGAGCCAGTTAGGATTGAACTCCTGGCTGTGGGCAGAGTTAGCCTACAATCCTGCACCACCGGGGCTCGTAATGCTAATTAAAGGAGAATATCTATAGCTCAGGGTTGAAATGAGGGGTCCTTGGTGCTCCCTGAGCTTTCCCTGAGTAGCACTGATTGTCAGGGTTCTGGCAGTTACCCCCCATTTAAATCATGAGTCTCGAGCCAAACTTCCAAAACTTCAAAAGGATTTATCGGGAGTTAACATGTCAGCACTACCTGGGTGTCGCTGACTCTGAGACACATCATTCACTGTCACCCTTGACCCTGTTTTTCCCCCACCTGTCTGGGTGTATCATAATTCATATTATTAAATGAGACACATCCATAGCCAAGAGTCATCCATCATGTTCTCCAGTTAGATTTTTGCACGGTCAAAACTTCAGTTACAATCTCTGAAAAACTATGCATGGAATGCACTTTCAGTTTCAAGCTGTTGCACTCCTCTTTCAAACCCCCTTTCCCCCACTTCCCTTTCTGTCGGCAACTATAAAACAGCCATAGAAATGTTTTATGAGTTGACACTGATGATGTTATATCTGCAAGAAAAACAACCAGGTTCAAAGGCCACCCTTCAGAGGGCACATTGTTTTGTAATGTTATATTGCAAAGTGTTTTTTGACACGGCATTGTGTTTGAGTAACCCAATTGCAGCTTTCCTCTCTTTTTATTGGAGGACCCAAAACTGTTAAGAAGAGAAGGAAAAAGGGAAAGAACAGCAGCAAATGTCTTAGTTTTTGGCTTCTTTTCAAATTTAGAAAGAAGGACGTTTAGGTGAGGGGAAAATGGGGAAGGGGGAAAAAGAAGGAAGACAGGTGTAGGTATATATATATATATGTATATAT